CCCCAAAACCCCAAAACCCCAAAACCCCAAAACCCCGAAAAATCTTTTAAAAACGGAAAGCGTATATTTAAATAGTATTTATAACATAATTTATAAAGCTTTTGGAAACAGTTTATTCAACTGGGATAATACCTTCGGCTTACCCCCAGGACTTCTTATGTTCTTCCGCTTCCCTAGGTTGGTTCTTTTTAGCTCTTCAAGTTTTGTGCTAAGGAAGGAATTCTTAAAAGGATGACCTCCTCCTTTAAGCATTATGTCCTCTCTTTTTATTGAGCTCCTTTTGCTCTTAGGAGATCAGAAGCAAACTTTAAACTCCTCTCGAGGGAGATGGTCTATAAATATAATGTCATGAGACAATACTGCTTTCATTTATTTTGGGACTGATATTCTTTGACACTTTAGAAATTTTCAAAGAGCTATGAAAAGAGGATCTCAGAACATTTTTAAACCCATTTAGTCCTTGTCTCTTTTGATTCATTGAATTCTAAATTTTTATTACAACTAGTTACATGCGAACTCTCTTCAGTAAAGTCAAAAACTTTAGGTTTAAATAAATCAGGGAACTGCTGCTTAATAAATGAAGACGGGATGTTGCCAAATCTTTGTTTGAACAGGTTTCCTCCGGTATCTCTTTGTTCCTTTCTGATACCACTTGAGGTGAATCATTGGACCCCCATGAAGGAATTTCTGCCGGAATGAATACAGGAAGAGGGGCTAAAGTATCTCTCATTTTTTGAGTTAACTAATTCCAGCTTTTTGTGCCGCTTATGCACTGGAGAAAAATGGTTTAGATAATTTGAAACCATTTTCTTTCCAGCATTTCTTATAATCCTTTTATTGGGAAATTCAGGAAGGTTAAGATTCACTTTGGCATAAGATTGAAGGTCAGAATTTCTTTTTGGGCTTGTTATAGGATCTTTAACCTGTAGATCTTCATTTCCTAAACAAACCTTAGCAAAACCGTTGGTTTAGCTGAACCTACCTGCTTTATTGTACCTGATATTCATCATTGATTTTATTCAGGTCGGCCTTTTAGGGGTCTTTTTTAGGCTACGATTTACTTCATTTTTCATCATTTCGATTCAATAATTATTTGCTAAATTGGGGTTTTGGGGTTTTGGGGTTTTGGGGTTTTGGGGTTTTGGGGTTTTGG